AGAGAGAGAGAGAGAGAGAGAGAGAGAGAGAGAGAGAGAGATATGGTGCCAACAAAAATACTCAAAATCAAGACAAAACACTTACAGTTTCTCAAGAATTACAAACCTTGTAGGCTTATATACACAAGTTTGGTGAGACCATGCAGAAAATATAAAAAACAGAGATGTAAAATCACACACTGAACAAATGAAAAATATGAACCATGGACAGTTGCTTCACTAAAACTGTGACAAAGAAATCTTGTAACAAACTCTAATTTTTCTCGAAGAACAAAAAAGAAAACACACATGTACTGAACGACTTCTAACCACAATGAAGACGATCTTCCACTGGTCTCATAAAAGGCAGGACACCAGTCATACGATGTCGTGTTCTTTTATGCAAACCTCAAACAAGGGATATCGATCTGTATCCAGTGCCTGTACCAAGAAAACGGCACGTAAACGAACATCCATAATCATGCTTCATCCTCAGTAAGCTGCAAATCGTATCCATGCTTCATATCTGCATCATTTCATTTTTGAGATGCGATATAACCACAGTAAGGCGAAGGATTATATTCAAAGTAGCAGCATGCAGTCAGTCACTTAATCCTGATGATGAAGATACCATACTTTATACGTTCTATAAACAAAATTTGTTCAAAATATTTTTCGCAAAATTTGTGAATGAAATTATACCGTGGCAAGCAGAGAAGCCAGAAAACTAAAGATTGACCAGCGTCCTCACTAAAGATTTTTCCTCGTTAATTTAAGGATTGCACAAGAAACCAAACCAAAAACCAGATCAAAATAAGATGAACTAGACGACGGTCATCATTAAAAAAAAAAAAAAAGCAGTCACACACGGTAATGAAAGTCTTATATACCCAAGTGATCTACCAAAAACCTCAAAACAAGAATACAACACCAACTCAAATACTGCATACAAAAAAATAACACAAAGTCAATAAACGGTACCTCTCATCGAAGCTTTCCCACCTCTCTCCTTCCTCCCGAAACCATCATCACCCGATTCACCCTTCTCCTCACCATCACCATCATCATTCCCCATATCACTCTCACTCGCAGTCTCCCACTCTGAATCATCACTCTCATGTCCACCACATCCATCACCGTGCCCACCACCACCCTCACACAAAACACCACCATGCTTAGCTGCAGCCTCCCGAAACAGCCACGCGGCCCTCATCTGTTTCCTCACGAGCCGCTCGGCATAATCTGGGACTTTATTCTGCCTCAACGAAAGATCGGGGTCTGCCGACTGCGAAAACTCGTTCACAAACAGGATCGCATCCAAAAGGCTCTCTTTAGCCATACCGAGCATGTCGTAAGCCTGGGCCCGCCTCCACAGGCTCCTCGCGTGGCGGTTGACCGGACTGTGGAGGCAAAGTGCGCGCGTGGCATCGCTTATGGCCGCCAGAGGCTTCTGAAGCAACAGGTGGCATTGGGCTCGATTGCTGTAAAGTACAACTCTTTCTTTCTTGGACCTAACGGGGCAAAGGGAGAGTGCTTCCGAATATTTTGAGGCGGCCCCCGAAATGTCTCCGGCAGAGAAGAGAGAGTTTCCTTCGAGCTTCACTACTAAAGCGGCAGCATGTTTTATGTGGAGGTCTTCTTTAGGCATGTTTTTTTCCCATTTCAGCCTCTGGCGAAGGGCTAGGAGTTCCTCGACTTCTGATTTGACTAGGCTGATGATCGAGCCGCGGCCCGGCAGCCCGGGAGACTGAATGTATTCCTCGAGGGCGTTGATTATCGAGTCCCCGAGCTTCTTGTGGTCCCCAAGTGTGGTTATGTCCGCGAGGTCTATGAGTACGGGTACCGCCTTTTCACTGACCTGTGCAAAAGGTGAAACTTGATGAAAATCAAGAACATGGGTTTTTCAAATCTTTTCAAATAAACTTCTTATTTTTCTTTTACCTTATGGCAGGTGCTCGGGTCCTGGAGCAACCAAAGTAGGCAATCGATCGCCATATACTGCCAATCATCTGAAGACCGAGCTATATTACACAAAGCATCCACAACCCCAGGACAGGCAGCCACAGGCCCCCTCCCAAGCTTATGATGACAAATCGTCCGCAGCAGCCCAATCCCAGCCGGTGAATTCTCGTTCACGAGCCCGCCCCACAAGCCCGGCAGCCTCGTTAAAAACTCCGGCTTGCAAATATCCGGCAAAAACTCGGCCTTAAACGCGAAACAATTAATCAGCTGCAAGGACCAGCACTGGAGCTGGCTGGCCCACTCCTCGGCTTTCCTCGACTCCATCTCGACTCCACCCATGCCCCGCGTGAGCAAGTCACAGTGGTACCCGAGCCTCCGGCCCGGGTCCCGGTAGAAGTGTGTGTACACAATCTCGAGCGAGCTGGCCGCCAGCTGGATGGCGAGCTCGAGGACTTCTGTGTGAGCAGCCACGGCTGGGAAAGTGGTGGCGTAGGTGGCGAGGTGGCCGAGGGCCCGCACGGCCACCCGCTGCTCGACCCACGTGAGTCTTCCGCGGAGAAGCTCGATTAGAGGGGGTATAGCGCCAGCCTGGACAGCAGCCTCGGCAAACGACTCGACGTTCATCGTGTAGGAGCCGATTATGTGCGCGGCGTAGTAAGGGATGTACACGTTTTGGTCGTGGGCCAGCCATCGGCGGTTTCGGAGCCCTTTGCAAATGAGGGCCGACATGCAGTCGAATATTCCGAGGTCGATAAATTCGGGGTCGTTCGGGTGGGCCATGGCAGTGTTCCAGAGGCCGCTGATCGGGAGAACTTGGCCATCGTCGTCTTGGGACGGGAGGTCACGAAAGAATTTGAGGAGGGCCGATCGGCGTTTGGTGGGGTTCGACTCCTTCATCACGCAGAAAAAGCAGCCAGGGTAAGGGCAGTCGGGGGAGGATTTATCCATGGTTTTCGTGATGAACTGGAAAAATATGGGCAAATTTGAGATTTTTCCTTTTTTGTTTTTTATTTAGTTTTTTATGATGAACACCGGAAAAGGTACTGTCCCAAATCAAAGAAACTTGCAACTAAAAGCAAGGTGTCCAGTATCCATGTGAGATGGTAAACAGTTTATGATGAATTTTGATTAAAATGTATCAGAACTTGCATTAATCTGCACATATGATATAAGCATCACAAAGGGAAAAAAAACAAATAAACAAAAATAAAGAAGGATCTTCAACACAAGTTTTAGAGTGTGTGTCATGAATATGATTATCCTTCTAACTATTAAGCTGCAGGTAAAATTTTGCAGAAGGAAGAATATATCATATTATCAACTCATTGACCAGTATAAACATCACTTTCAAACATACAAAAGCTCCACCGCGTCGTCCTATCGAGCTACTTCATCAGATTATTAGACAACAGCATTACTAATAAAGAATTCAAAGCCAAATCACTGATCTTGATGCAGCAGAGTTTCCATTTAGGCAAAAGTATTAGCTGTTGAAATCCAGAATCTCTCACCATTTTCCTTATGCTCCATCGACTAACCGAAAAATTTGAAAGGGCTCGAACTTGGAATTCAACTATAAAGTAAGAACAAAACTCCAGCAAATGAAATCAAAACCTAATACATTTCTCACACTTGTCTGAATCAACTAATCACACAAACTCAAGTGATAAACAGTCCCAGCATTGAGTTCACAAGCACAAACAGCAATCTTTCACAATATTTACACTAACATACCCCAGTCGTCAGTGGATCTACTAAAAGAACCATAGAAAACACCACGAACAATGAAAAAGGCACAATCTTTAAGCAAAATCTACAAACCCCATATGTCTAGCAGCATTTACAAGAAAAAATAAATACACAAACAAAGAAGAAAACAAGAACCCACTTGAATTACCACACAATAAAAACACAAATTCAACAAAAAAAATCAAATCTTGGGACAACCCATCTCGAACCCAATTAATTAGACCAAGAAAACAAGAAAAAACAAATAAAATTGCAGTAGAATTTAGAGTGAGAAAGAAAGTAGATTCAAGGTACCTCAAAAGGCTGGCTAGAATAGAAGATTACTACACCGAGTATTGAAGAGGGACAAGCAGCACAATGACTGCCAATATTCTTCTATTTTTCTCTTTGCTCCTCTGTTTTTTCTCCTTTTTTTTTTTTTTTTTTCTTTTCAAAGAGGGTTGTAGTGGGTGGAAGATGGACACTTTTTTTTCTAACTTTTTTGGATTGGTTTTGGTCGGCCCCGATTATAAAGCTCATACATGTAATCTTGTAATGAAATGTTTTAAAATTTTCCCTTTTTTTGACAGATTTGGTTTTGCACACAAGATTTTTGTACTTAATTGAGTGGATTACACAGATCAGCAGAAATTAATTGGGCATATAAGGTGGGACAATGGCATTATGTTCTGCAGAATTATTGCGCTTCCAAATTGGTTAAATAGTCATTAAGTTTTTATTTATTTTTTGTTTTTCTTGGTCCCATCACTCAATTTTTTGCTTTGTTTGAAGTTGTACACGCACGGACATTACCGTTGTATACCACTACTTGTTTGAGCAACCATTCCTCCCTATATATTAATTCAAAATCTGTTGAGCCTAGGTGTCAAATTCTCACGCTTCGGATGCTGATATGGCGAAAATCTATGCTTTGTGATGTTGTTTTTATATTATTTTCGTTATGGAGTTAGGTTTGGTATTAGATATATATGACTTTACACATATATTCATTAACTCAACATCCATGTTGTACATGGGTATTAGTACTAGTTTTTTTTTTTTTTTTTTTGAAATAGCAAGAGCTACTAAATCAAATAAAACCTTCAACCTTTTTTTTAAGGAAATAAGATAGAAAAAGGGGTATCATTATGAATAAATTTTCTTGATTTGCATCAAGCTTGCAGTCTTGATAACAATTTCGAAATTATATGAAACATGTCTATTTAAAATGATCATATTTAAATTTTTCTTTCTTTTGCGAAGAAATGATTGAATATTTCTCTTTAATCTGTGTGTATCGATATTTTTTTCACTTCATAAAAATGACATCAAAGGCATCACACACTAAGTAACAAGTCGAGAGATTGTAGGAAAAGGAAGAATTAAAAAAAACGAGGTTGTTGGTATCAACTTGAGTATGATTTTTAGAAAAAGACATGCGATGGAGAAAATAGAGCTTAAGTTGATGAAAAAATAGTCATATATATAAAAGATGATCCAGACTAAAGATAAAGAGTTGGAGCAGTAGAAGTACATCAAAAGGTTAGTTCTTAAGGCCTCCAAAGATAGTCACCCAAGATTTGATCAGAGATGGTCTTCAAACCTAAGAGATGGTCCTGAGATATGACGACCTCGTCTGAAAGAGTTAGACTTAAAATATATCGACACAGTTATGAAGACTTAGCCCGAAATAATTGGTCTAAATTAAACATGTATACTTAGTTATGAAGATCTAATTAGAGATAAAGATATGTCGACCTGATCCAAAAATGTGTCGACCTAGTCATTGAAGACATATACGATAGCCACCATTATCGATCTAAGAGCAAGCAATAGTTATCAGTGATGACAATTGTAAAACAATGGGTCAAATGTCGTTTTGCATGCATTTAATTTTTTCAGAATGTGACACATGTTCACCAGAACATTGTAGCTAGTTAAGATACACAATATCATTTTGTAAATAGAAACCAGTTTAGTTCATATAAAGGGCCCTTAAATCACCTCTAGGACTTGTATATACCAAAATATATGTAAATGTGTAGTAAATTTAGCAACCAATTGAACGGTAATTAAGAAAAAACAACAAGATAATGGTAAGGAAATGCATATTTGACATTTAAAGTGTGAACAATGTGAAAAGTGAGTCAACAATATCATGCCTAACAAAAGTGAAAGGTAGCTTTTATACCTCGTAAAAGACTCGAAGCATATCGCACGTCCAAGACTAACGACTAGGTTTTTAAAATAATAAATATATATATATATATATATATATATATATATATATTAATATATATTAAAAGCAAGATCTTAATGGAATTTATTAAGATCTACGATCGAATTCAGATAGAACAATGAAAGCAGAAGAAGAACGAGAGAGAGAAAACAACATTAGATCTTATTTCTGTAAACTGCGGAAAAGTAAAGTGTGTGGAATGGATTAGGGTTACAGTATTTATATGAATACAATTGTCCTATAGTTGCTATTGTTAAATAGCAACTTTACAATCAGCACTTATACAACTTATGATAAAGAATAATAAAACTATTCTATTACAATGTTATTAGAATTATTTAACTATATAGTTGTCAAATTCAACCATGTACGTGATATGATTTGCTGGAATAATCATCTCTCCTAAATTGAGTCAACGTGTAAAACAACATATATCAAACATGCTTCGATAAAGCAATTTATAATACTCTCAAGTCATATTAATACACCCAAATTATTTGTGCGTATTAATACTCCACAGTGCAACCACGTCGTAATAAAGAATGTAATATAACAAGTTATTTGTGTGTATTAATATGAAACTTATTTTATATAAGATGAATATGAATCGATATAAATATATGTATGCCGCGTAGACAGGACTTCCGCCAATAACCGTACTCTTACGCCTAGCCTGGGTTTCCTCGTTCCATAGTGAGCGATAGAGACCACCGTCTTTAAAGCAACTGAAAGCCTTAAGTTTGATTTCAGGAACGAGTCTTTTTTTGCTGGACGAGACTCTTGATTCTGCCAAAATGCCTTGGTCTTGTAACGGATAATTTAGGAAGAATATTTTCTGTAGTTATCTTTAGTAACTAAATATTTGATTTGATATTATCCTTATCTCTTGTAATCTCTATATGTATCCTAAAAACTCATTTTTACGTGCAATGAAAACAACAAAAAAGACGATCTCTTTCTCCATGTCATCTCTTATTATTTCAGCATGGTATCAGAGATGTGAAGAACATCATACCTAATATTTTTACAGACATCATATTTTTTTCTTTCATCATGTCATCTAGCACGGGATCTCAGACGAATTATAAAACAATCTCACCATACGATATCACCTCGAGTGATAATCCTGGATGCTTGATTTCTACGGTTCTTCTCACGGGGCAAAATTATATCGAATGGTCCTCATCGCTCCGGACAGCTCTCCGGGCACGCAAAAAGTTCGGCTTTCTCGATGGTTCTATTTCCACACCGGCCGACAACTCACCGGTTCTCGAAGATTGGTTCGTCAATAACTCGATGTTGGTCTCATGGATAAAGAATACGATCGATCCGACACTTCGACCTTCCATTCCTCAAATTGAACTCGCCAAAGAATTGTGGGATCATCTTCGTCGTCGTTTCTCCGTTGTTAACGGCACTCGAATTCAGCAATTGAAAGGCGAATTGGCTTCTAAAGTACAAAAAGGTATGAGCGTCAGTGCATACTATGGCAAGCTGCGAATGCTTTTTGACGAATTAAATTCATATCAACCACCGATTGCGTGTACCTGCGGCCATGCCCGTGAATTCGAGGCTCGAAGAGACGCAGAAGAAACTCACCAATTCTTATTAGGCCTGGATAAAGAGGTGTATGGGTCGGCCCGTTCTGGTCTTTTGGCCCAAGATCCTTTACCCTCTTTGGATCGGGTCTATTCCGTCATCTCACAGGAGGAACGATACTCCTCTCCTTCTGCTCCGATCGCCGACGTGATGAGCTTCGCCACCACTGCAACCCGACAATCGTCTTCCCGTCCTCCGCGTTCCTCTACTTCTTCTCAACAGTGCCATCTCTGTGGGCGATCTGGACATGAAGCTCAAAATTGTTTTCGGGTCAAACCCTGCCCTCACTGCAACCGGACGGGTCATGATCTTCGTCGCTGCTTCGAGGTCGTCGGATATCCGGCGGGCTGGTCTGGCAAGTCTCCTTCTACCGGCGGGACAA